AAGAATGTGACAAAATTGAAATTAGCAGTTTATCCTTATCCGGCATAAACCTACATGCAATAAAGCTTGTATTTATTTTTATAAAGTCTTTTCATTGTCATTTTGGCAAAAAATTATTAATGCAAAAAATTTAAAATAATATCCAAACCACAAACATATTTTTCCCCAAAAAAATCAAAAGAATAGACATGAAAAATATATATTTTTTAGCTTTGAAAGATAATAGTATTGGGTGTCAAACAGTTTAGACCTTCTTTATGACTTCTAATTTTAATCTAATTCAGATTGCACAGCAGTTGCTGAGATATAAAGTTCCCCCACCTATCACCCGAGACAAAACTAGAGTAATTTTAATTCATAATTGGAAAAATATACAATCGGCCATTCCTGTTCTCAAGTTTCCGTTGAAACCAATCCGTCGCTGTCACCTTCTGTAAAAATTGTGACAAACTCTGAGGCGATAAAGCACCTGACAAATTTGTTGGTGTTTTAAGTGGAGGCTTAAGTCTTCCAACCACTCGACAGACGTATCACCTTGGTAATTTTTGACACACAGCTTAAATTAGAAAAACAAAAGACTCTTTTTCAAGCTTGTCACACAATCAAGAAACACTAAAAATTGTTCCAAACTGACTTAAACTTTTAAAACTTGCCCGATTACTTAATGTTGCCGGAAAAGGGTGTATAGTTTTTAGTTCGTTAGCCCGTACTGCTTTTCACCGGATCAGTATAAGTATAAGTACATATGTAGGGCCGCCTGTACAGCTATACAGCTGTACACTCAGTGCAGGAATTTCATTTATTGACCCAAGCCACAAATTCATTATTGCCCACCGCTGTTGATTTTACCTGAAAATTCTAATTTGCGGACAGCTGGAAAGCAAGGATTGTCGGCAAACTTTCCACTCGGAAAACTGAAGCGAAAAAGTTTCAGGCACACGCACACATGTGTGTTAAGAGAACTATTTGTGTGCGTATTAGGGCGGACTTTATTCCACGGACATGTCGCAATAGAATTATTCAAAAGTCAGGAAAGTTTCTGTGAACGAACGTGACAGGTCTGAGTGGAACTGCTTTAATTCTTATTAATAACGGAAAAGTAAAACGGAGAGGAGAGCGACATATCGATGCCATTGTACAAATAGCTTTTGAAACTTTCGGTTCTAGTTTTTATGCCGCATGAGTCATTTTTGAGGTAAACTTTAAACAAAGGCCGGGCACTAGTCCACCCTAATGTGCGGACTCCACTCGATTATAGCCAAAGTCGGTTAAAGGTCAAAGTAAATAGTTATTGATTGCACATTAGAAAGTTTGAGAAGGTAATCCAACTTTGTCGCGGATCTTGGCCTACGAAATTCATCCTCATCAGACCCAAGAACCGCCGACCTCGAACCCCAAACTCTCAACAACAAACCCCAACCTCAAGCCCTGCTCCACCAATGCCAGCCTGGGAGCCGAGCCCCACCCCTCCAGCAGCCTTTGTGAAAGCCGTGCAACAACAAATGAAAGCAACAAACGGGTAACAACGAACAACTAACGAAAACCCATTGAGCAAATATTTAACAAAGCGCAAAATTGCAGCGTTTTTCTTTTATTTGCATATTTAATTTGTTTTGAGGTTTTTTCTTTCCGAACAAAAACCGCTGACACAGGCAGCAGCGACAACAAAAACAATCACGAAAACTGTGCGCAAACAAAGTGGAGCAAAAACAACACACACTGGCTCAAAGTACCGCTATTCGTCTGTCCGTACGAACGAAAGAGCATTGGTCTCTCGTTTCGTCTCTCTTACTCTTGCATCGCCTCCGCCTCTTCCCCAACCTCTGTCTCCGCCCTAACCGCCACCCTCGCCCATCTTCCCGCTCACCTCCTGACTAAGAGTCCCCACTCAAAAACAGTCCGCGGAAAACCGGATAGACGAGCTTCCTGGCCGCCACGCCTTACCCTGCCCCGCCCACCAAGCCCCATCCATCATGTGTATCTATTTTCGGCCAGGGTGTGCAAATTAGGGGGGATTGGATTACAGGCCGCTGGCACACGATACCACACATTATCGCTGGATAGAAACAGATCGCTGGATCAAACCGCAGCAACCAAGCGATTCCAAGAAATCTGGAGTGTTGAACAGTTACAAAAGTTCGGCAGTTAAAAAAGACATATATTCATATGTACACTGTACACTGTATATGCATGTATGTCAAGGCATATGTGTACATTTTAATGTTTCGAGTAACCCTTGTTGCCATGCGAGCAAAAAATAAAGTTTTTTTGCCGCTGTTAAGAAATAAAAAGCCAAAATATCGTCACACAAAAAGCCTTGTTGTGTTTACATTAAAGCTACATATTTGCATAAAATACAATTTATTCATTTCAACTAAAAATTTGTATGACTATATGGTATGAAATCAGCCGAGAGTTAACTTTGAAGGTTTTTGAAGGTCCGCTTCAGGTTTGGATTACTTCTTTGAGCAGTATCTGTCTCTCCCTAAAAATGGTCCAACGGAGCTGATACTTCCCAAACTTGTTTGTTTTCGTTTCAAACGAATACTTCTTACATGCCGCGCTATAAGGTCAGTCTTTTATAGCAACATTTTAACTACACACGCCATGAGCTATGCTTAAGATACTACGTACGTATGTGACTATACTACGTATAGTATGTGTAAGGCCTAAAGCGGTTCATTCGAAACTTTGTGTATTATCGAGTCGGTACATTTTTTACTCATATTCAAACTACATGCATCACCTTTAAATTGTTGGCTTTAAAAATATTGTGGATGGTTGATATTGATCCTATATAGATTGGAGACTATATACATTCAGAGTATTTAAGTTAAATTTCAAGGTAAATACAAGCCTTTTGTTAACTTTAAAGTTATTTGATGGTTGTATCTTTGAAGGTCTACAAAAATGAACAAGAATCTACCAAATCAACATTAGGAATTAGATTTGTTTTACCTTTCTTCCTATCTATCTCTAAGAAATGGTCTACAAGGAAGAACTGCTCATACTCGTATAAAACATGAAAATAGTCCTCTTTATGTCGCTTTATTGTGTCAGTCCTTTTTATGGATATTTTAACTACGTATGCCTGAAAGATTTATTTATATATGTGGAATGTTCATATATTTATGTTTAAGCTCCCAAGCGGTCTATTAGTAACATCTACATATTCGTAAGCTATCCATTCCAAATATTTTTTATTCGTTCGTATTTTAAACCACATTCATCACCTAAATATTTTAAGCTTTGCAGTGTTACAACATACTTACACACGAGTATCAAGATAATAATATCGAGGTTCAAATTAAACTTTGTGCAACTGCAAGGGTATCTATGATTCGTTGTAGTAGCGTAGAGGCTTGTTCTGTTGCGGTTCCGCAATAGCTTTTAATTCCTAAATAATTCATTGTTGGCTGAGTTTTACGCTGGTAATTGGCTTGTTTCAGAAGTTACTGTTGCGGTGGATTCCTTGCTGCAATGCCCATCCAATATGGGACGAACATCGGCTGGCGCCTAGTGGATGGAGCGTGGCGCGGCCGGAGTGAGGGATCTGGGCGTCGTTATGGTTGGGGCCGGAAAATGTGTTGACGTCAGAAATGGCGCTTAATTAAAGCCAAACCCAGCTCAATGCTAAAAAGGCGGTCCTTCACTCTCAGAAATGTTGTCTTGTTTGCACTTGCTTAAAAGAAAAGCTTCTCGGCGTCCTTTTCGGCCCCTCCTTCGGCATCGCAACCGCCGCCGCCTCCACGCCCGCCTTACCGTCCAGCCATTCAGTTGATGGCTTACCCATCGTAGCGGATGGGCGTAGCAGTACTGTCGCAAGTCAGTTAGAAGCCGCAAACTGTCACAGTTTAACAACATTTTCATTAATCAAGTCGTCGTAGCGAGTGCCACCTGAAGAGTCGCAGAGCGGCAGAAAGCAGAGAGGACGAGAAGGACAAAACAGGACCAAAGAGATTATGCCAACTCGAAGGATGCAGCCGAATTTGGTTCACTAGTTTCGCTTTGTTTCTGCTTTTGTCGTCCCCTTATCGTTTGCTTTCTCCTCCATCTTCTTTCTGGTAGCTAGCGGTTCGGATCCTGCGTCATGTTTGCCGTACGCTTGACATCGTTCTTGGGCCTCCAGGTAGCGTCCTGTTTCGCTTTTACAAAGCTCTTCCCTGCGAAATTACCGCTTTGGGCACACTTACAATCTGCCACTGAAAACTCTCGGCCACATGATACTCCAGGGGCATTGCCACCTGCCGCCGGCGATGGAGTTAAAGCCACAATCTATGATTTACCAAGAGCAGGCCGAGACACCGTACAAATACTGACAGCCTATAGGAATTCAAAATCATAAATAAATATAAATACGTAGCTCAAATGTCATTGTTATAATTAAAAATTTCTTTCGGCTCAACGACTTGATTAAAAAAGCAGCCTTTTTGGTTTCCTTTCGTTCTTATAATTGAATGCAAACTAATTGAGTAACCACAACCATTTAGTTTATTTTTATGGAGACTGATTCAGTAGAATAGCTTAACTTGCCCTTAATAGGCCTGCCATTTAGGCAAAAAATGGCCAAATTTTACAAATAAAGTTATTGTTTTCATTTAACGATTTAATTTAATTAAGAGCAGGCAATTAAATATAAGTCAGGAATGTGACAAAGACCTTTGCTGGGCTAACCAACCGAGCCACTCTGTAACGAAGCGAATTCATCGCTATTCGCCAAAAAATAATCCTCTTATGTCCGCGTTACGTTGCTTTCCGTAACGCAGCAGGCAGTAGGTTTTGTTGCAAAGTTCAATACAGACGACTCTGCTAATTACCCAAACCCATTGATGACACACAACAAACTTTTGGCAATCAAAACAACCCTTTTGACCTTTCTCACTTTCCGCTTAGTTGGCAACCCTTACGCATCTTTATTCCACTGATAGCCGCCCCCTTTTGTCGCTACTCATTATAATTATTAATCGACCACTGTCCGCATTGTTGCGCATTCCTTTCAGGTGGAAACTGCACTGCTAATTGTGAGGTTAGAGCTCAACGACGTCCGCCGGGATATTAATTAATCACGGTCTGGCCTGTCGCGCACACCCAGACGCCACACACCCACAAACTCCCCTGGCGCGAGATAACGAGAGCGGAAAACAGGAAAGCGGAAGAAGGCGAAAAGGATTGGCGAAGGTGCTGGAACAAAAATTAACAACGCTAGAAGGATTAGCCCGCAGAGGGTGACAAGGGCGTAAAATACGTGACACGCAGCGACGCGAGTAAACACACCACAATCGTGGCCAGGGGTTAAGGGTCAGAGCACCAGACTGGGGACAAAGTATTGCGGACAGAGCGAGATTAACGCGTTCTGCTCTCTTTAGTCTGCCATAAGGACGGGCACGTGCACAGGATTAGAAACCCGCAACAGAGTCTTCACCCGAAGATGGCCAACACACAGCTTACAGTGCGGTGGGCGGTGCTTTTGGCGGCGATTGTGATGCATCTGGCCCAAAAGACCACTGGGATCGACTGGATGCAGAACTGCAGCTCTTGCCACTGCCACTGGAACTCGGGAAAGAAGAGCGCCGACTGCAGAAACAAGGCGCTGACCAAAATACCACAGGACCTCAGCAACGAGATGCAGGTTGTGGACTTCGCTTACAACCAGATCGCGGAGCTGAGGCGGGAGGAGTTTCTGCTTGCCGGACTGCCTCATGTCCATAAGCTGTTCCTGCGCAACTGCACCATCCAAGAGGTACACCGCGACGCCTTCAAGGGCTTACAAATCCTTATCGAGCTGGACATGTCCTATAACAACATTCGCGAGCTTCGGCCGGGCACTTTTACGGGCCTCGAGAAGCTGCGCAATGTGATCATCAATAACAACGAGATCGAGGTTCTGCCCAACAACCTGTTCGTCAACCTAAGCTTCCTCTCACGCATTGAGTTTCGCAATAACAGGCTGCACCAAGTGCAGCTGCACGTCTTCGCCGGCACGGTGGCACTCAGTGCCATCTCCTTGGAGCAGAACCGGCTCACACACTTGCACAAGGACACGTTCAAGGATCTTCAGAAGCTGAACCATCTATCGCTCCAAGGAAATGCCTGGAACTGTAGCTGCGAGCTTCAGGAGTTCCGCGACTATGCCATTAGCAAGAGGTTATACACGCCTCCCACCGACTGTCAGGAGCCGCAACAACTACGGGGCAAGCTATGGAGCGAGGTTCCCTCTGAAAACTTCGCCTGCCGACCGCGCATCCTGGGTTCTGTGCGCTCCTTCGTCGAGGCCAATCACGACAACATTACCTTGCCCTGCCGCATTGTAGGCAGCCCACGTCCAAACATCACCTGGGTGTACAACAAGCGTCCGTTGCACCACGACGCCCGTGTTCGCGTCCTTACCTCCGTGGAGCAGCCCTCCCAGGCAACTACTTCAGAGCTACGTATCTTCGGCGTCCGTCCCTCCGATAAGGGCGCCTATACCTGCGTGGCGGAAAACAGGGGCGGCCGAGTTGAGGCCGAGTTTCAGCTTCTCGTCAGCGGGGACTACGTGGGCCCCGGGCCAGACTCCGACGGCATGGGCCGCCTGGGGATGGGCATTGGCGGGGCGATAGGGGCGCCGACCAACGATCCGCAGACCAACGTCTTCCTCATCATCTGCCTGATCACCACCACTGTTCTTCTGCTTCTCATCGTGGTAGTCTTAACTCTCTTCTGGTATTGCCGCAAGATTAAGACTTACCAGAAGGATACTACAATCATGAGCGGCGACGGTCTAATCTCCGCAAAGCTCGATAAGACACACAACGGCTCCATGCTTGAAGGCTCCGTCATCATGGAAATGCAGAAAAGCCTCCTTAACGAGGTCAATCCCGTAGAGAAACCGCCGCGGCGCACGGACATCGAGAGCATCGACGGAGGCGATGATGGCCACGAGATCAAGAAGACACTTCTCGACGAAACGGCCTACGGTGAGTAAGCTTAATATTCAAACTTTAAAACTATCCAAACTATAAAACTATTCGTAACTTTGAGTTAAAAGCAGGGCCAGTAAATAATAACACAGTGAGACAGCGATTTGGAAATTTTAAAGAGATATAGTAGGAATTTTTTATCAGGTCGAATGTAGCAAAAAACCGTGTTTGAAATATTTGTAACACCCTAAAAATATTGATTTGTTTAGAAAAAACCGTTTTTTGGGACTTTTTTTCGCTTAAAAATTCCTAAACTCGTAATTTTGAACCAATTGACATTTTTGCATTTTGGTCTCGTTGTTCGATGTCGCGTCGCGATTTTGACGCCATTTTTTCGTTACAACTTAAAACATTTTTGACACATATACAATATTAACCCTGAATAAAAGGAGACCAATTTCATTACAAAGTTATGATAAATTGTTGAAGGTATAACGCTTTTCCCAAAAAAAGTCAATGCAATATTGCTAGTGCTCTCTTGAGAAAAAATCTCTTGAAAAAACCATTAAATCTGCTGTTTAATTGTACGAAAGGGCCATAGTGAAAAGTCATTGTACTAATTGATACCTGTATATCATCTCTTCAGAACCAATTTCTTAGAGTAACCCACGGCAGGGCACAAAGACACCGAATAAAGGCCGAAGAACCTGAGTACAACGCCAAGCCTACCTTGAATTTTAGAGTTTGAAGGGGTTCTTTTGTCCAGGCTTTCTGAAATAGTGTATAGCTATTTCAGAGAGTAGGAAAGTAGTTAGCTTCGACTAATTTCTTTACAAGAAGCTTTTATCGCGCCAATGATAAAAATTCTCCCTTATGGTCTATTCTATTTAGGTTAAACTCTGTCAGATAAGATAAGATAAGAAAAGATAACAACTTGTCGATATTACCAAGCATGTAGGTCGGATGCGCACACTCATTGAATGCATGTAGAAAAATTTAGGAAAATGTAACCCTTAAAAATAAATATATACACATGCTTATAACAAGAACATTTATTTTTACATTTATTTATACAAAACATAGTATGTATTAGGCATAACCTATGGTGTCAGCATTTGTTAAAAAAGATTTTTTTCTCATATCAAAGGGGGATATTTTTATACCCTTGCAGAGGGTATTATAATTTTGTCAAAAAGTGTGCAACGCAGTGAAGGAGACATCTCCGACCCTATAAAGTATATATATTCTTGATCAGGATCACCTCCTGAGTTGATATGAGCATGTCCGTCTGTCTGTCTGTTTCTACGCAAACTAGTCTCTCAGTTTTAAAGCTATCGACTTGAAACTTTGCACACACCCTTCTTTATATTGCACGCAGTATATAAGTCGGAACGACCGGTATCGGGCGACTATATCCTATAGCTGCCATATAACTGATTGATCGGAAATGGTATAACTTTGGTGTTTTCAGAGTTAGAAAGTTCAAATTAGACATGAGAGCTATTTTTGGCAAAACATTACATGCCAAATTTCTCAAGGATCGGCCGACTATATCCTATAGCTGCCATATAACTGAACGATCGGAAATGACCCAACTTTCGTGTTTTTGAAGATAGAATTGGTACAGATTATATTTTTAATCCGAATCGGTCAGTTAATCCGACCTTCCAAATTTCATAACGATCGGCCGACTATATCTTATAGCTGCCATATAACTGAACGATCGGAAATGGTTTTTGGTAGATACACCAACTTTGGTATTTTTGAAGATAGAAGTTTGGTTTTTTTTTAGATTTTTTATTATAATAAATTGGGTTATGTTATCATATTCTGATAAGGATCGGCCAACTATATCCGATGTTTGCGATATATATCCGGCTTTAACTGCAAGGGTATATCAACTTCGTCGCCGACCGAAGTTAACTTTCCTTTCTTGTTAAATTTAATTTTGTTTTATTTGGAAATAAAACGTATACTTTAATATACGATAAAATGAACAAAAATGTAGGTAAACAAAAAAATTTGTTTTCAACCATTCCAAGGTAATACAATTTTTTTTGAAAAATGTTTCTTAATAGCTAAGTATTTAACTCATTTATTTATTTATTTTGTTTTGGTTTATTTATTTATTTATTCTGTATTAAAAAAGCGAGGAGGACCAACTTAGGAGGTCCTTCTCGCTTTTTTAATACGGCCTTTATTCTTGATGGCATAAAATGTACTATGTGTTCGATAGTTTCCTTAATTATGTCTTTATAACAGATACTTTCGACTTCCAAATTAAATTCTCTTATATTTTTAGGTTTCTTTTTATGTATTTTAACTCTTAAAATATGCCAAAGATTTTGAATTGGATATAAATCAGGACTACTGCCTGGCCAGTCTAAGGTTGATTTTCCATTTTTCTGCAAATAATATATTACCTAAATTAAAAAAAACACCGCTAGTAAAATTGCACTGACTTGTTTTGGGAAAAGCGTTATAACTTCAACAATTTTCATAATTTCCTAATAAAATTGGTCTCGTTTTATTCAGGATTAAATCGACAATATTGATATGTTTCAAAAATAGCATAGCATATCTTGTAAATTATACCGAAAAAAATGGCGGCAAAGTCCCAAAAACACGAACAAAATGCCAACATGTCAGTTTCTTGTGTAAAAATTGTATCCTTTTTGTTTAAAAAAATTTAAGATATATTTTTTTTCAAAAGTTACAACATTTAACTATTGAAAAACGTCAGAAATTTAAAAATCGGTTTAAGGGGACTCGATTTAAAATTTTGACGATTTTCAATGGGCTGGAAAATGAACATAAATTATTTTATAGGGTTGTACCTTTGCATACATATATTTCAAGATATAAAAAAGAAGAAAAAAAACTTTACAAAAATTTTTTTTTTTTATTTTTGTTGTTGGTTTTTGTTATTAAAGAAAAGCCCTTTTTTTCGGCGGCGCATGTGATTTCCGCTCACTGGAACATCGGAAACCAAAAATTCCAACGAGATTGGAAAGAGTACATGTTTGGCTCTGGTATGAACTAGGATTATTAATTTTGCACAATAAATAACAAAATGGCGGACCTCTGAAAATTTTTTTTTTAAATTGCTTTTTTTCAGCCACAAATCAAGTTGAAAAGTAAAGAAGATCTTCACTGATTTGATTTATCATAGTTTATACGAGAGCTATATATGTATAGAATAACGTGTTAAAATTTGGAACCGATTGGATTAATAGGTTTTGAGTAACCTCATGCGCCAGTCGCAAAAACAATGTTTCGAGAAAAACGCGTTTAAAGTTTTGAGACGGTACTCAGCGGTGCCTTACGCTTCCACCATAAATCGGCCATTTCTTCCAGAGTTTTTGAAATTTTCACTTGAAATTTTAAAAGAATATTCATAGCTATAAGTTCGAATTAAATAAAAAAAAATCGATTTTTTGAAACCGAGAATGGGGGGGTCTTAAAATAAAAATTACGCGTTTAGGAATTTTTAAGCGCAAAAAAGTCACGAAAACCGTTTTTTTCCAAATAAGTCAAGATTTTGAGGGTGTTACAAATATTTCAAACACGGGTTTGTGTTATATTCAACCTAATAAACAATTCCTACTAGGTCCTCCAATTTTATTTTTTTTGTCGCACTGTGTAATTTATTCTTCCCAAAGCTCTTCCTCCAACTCCAGGGAATCCATCCCGACTATTTCGAATTCATTAACAATGTTGTCTACACATGCCCCTTTTATTGGAAGCTCAATATCAGGAGATTTCAAAGAAACCTCTTGGTATCCTTTTTTTATAGTTTAAGCTTGTAGAAGTTAACACACTTAAAACTTTACCATCGATTAAAGTCCAATGTGCTTCATATTTCACTATTTTTTTTTGTCCGCAAGTGTAAGTGTGCTCATCTAGGTTTTTTTATTTTTTCGTCCAAGTTTGTTTTTTCATTTTTTATAAGTTCAGTTGTTTCCCTAATAAACTCCATTTTTAGGGTTCGGCAGAATCTGCCCGATTGAGGAGAAAGATTTAACCAAATAATTTGATTTTTGGAATCTATTAACTTCAAGGGAATTGTTGTAGTTACAATCAGTGACTGATCTAATCCACTAGGCTTCTCCGTGTGAGATCGCTGTTTATATATACTTTGTTATATATAATTCTGCAGCGATACTTCAACTTTAGATTCAAAATAAGTTATTTTATCTTGTTCTGGGCTGCATTTCAATTTCATTTTTGTAACTTCCGAATAAGGAAGATAAATATCACATCCACTGAGCTTACTCATTGCTTTTATATTAAGGGGTTATTTACAGTTGTACCGCGCAAATAAATGGAATTTCATCGATTTTTTTTTTGACACCATAGAAAATATTTATGAAAAATGTTTTACCGACGTTGTTTAGTACATGTTTCTGGGTACTTATTTAAATGTTTTCATAAAATAAAAATGTTATAGCCGAATTCCCGGATCGTCGTTTTTCGATGGTGTCTTGCGGTGGACATGATATCCCGAAAACGGTTCATCTGAAATCCAAACTTTAAAAAAATTTAGTTAGTATATTGTGTGAACGAGGGATTTTTAAAAATTTTGATTAAAAAAAAATGGCGACGGTTTTAACAAAAAATGTACTTTTTCAAGGTATAAGATTTTCGATTTTTATGCTTCAAAAAAGGAGTTTTCCAAAAAATTGAAAATCCCTCTTTCACGGACTAGCTAATATCATAATAAATAAGTGGTCAAAATTTGGTGTTGATAGAATTAGTAGTTTTTTAGTAATCGTGTCTACCGCAAAGGTAATTTCGAAAAATCAAGATTCTGAGATAATCGCGTTTAAAGGTTCCAGTTTGTTCAAGTTTGATGTGCAGGTTGTGCGCTATAAATAGCTACAACTTCGGTTATACTGCTCCGATCGTTATGAATTTTTGTGAGAGTATTTTCAACATTATATACTTAAAGAATATGCAATAAAAAAAATCGATTTTTTCATCTATCACAACTGTATATAACCCCTTAATATATTGTCGTTTTGTTAAATTGTTTTCAATTATAAAGGCTAAAACAT